AAAACCTTTCCCATCATAACTTGCAAATCAAAGCTCTTACACTAATGGAATTACTTGCCGCGGAGAATGAAAGGAACAGGGAGTGCATGGTTGATGCTGGCTTGCCCAAGGCCATGCTGGTGTTCATCGTATCGTGTTTCGAGAATGGTCAAGTTTCTGGTATTCAAGAAGCTCTCTGTATATTACGTTTAATTAAAATTCCCCGAAGTGAATCGAGGGTGTTTCTTTGTGCAAATGGTAAGATTATCGAATCCTTGACGTGGGTTTATGGTGCAAAATGGATAATTATGCCACTGTTAAATCCCATGCAGTTTCAGTGTTGAGAGTACTCCTTGAAGATGCGAGTTGTAGTGTGCTAAAGAGGCTTAAACCTGAATTCATTGAGAGGATTGTTGGTGTTTTGAGAGAGAAATCACCCAGCAAGGTATTAAATCTGCCTTGGAAGCGCTGTTAGATGCTTGCCCTTGGGCAGGAAATCGGACAATGATGGTTGAATCTGGTGCAGTTTTTGAGGTCATAGAGCTTGAACTGGGATGTTCTCCTGAAAGGAGAACCACAGAGCTCAATTTGGGTGTATTGTTTCATTTATGTTGTTGTGCCGAGGGAAGAGCACAATTCCTAAGTCATGGAGGTAGCATTGCTGTGGTTGCAAAGAGAATCTTAATGATGTCCCCAGAAGTCAATGATCAGGCCATTCTGATCCTTTCATTGATATGTAAATCCTCAGGAACAAGCATGGTGATCATGGTAGATGTTAATTCTGTCCCAAAGCTGTGTATGTTGCTTCAAGCTGATTGTGCACCATATTTGAAGGACACGGCTAGGGAAATCCTTAGATCACGTTTCGATGATTGGAAGAACTTTCCTTGCATTTTTTCTTCCCCCTCAAGTCTTGAGTACAAGGTATGTAGGTGATTTCGAGTTCTGCATAGCCTTCTCCTTCCAATCCATTTCTTATTATTAATTAGTATAACAACACAAATGTGAATCCCATTAATGAAAATACTAAAACATAGCTACGGGACCATATTTTTCTTATTTCCATGTGATGCACACAGGCACAGCTTTCAAGTAATTTTTCTTATTTTTTACTCGATTGTTTTCAAGGAGTTTAAAGAAATATAAACAATCTATGAATTATGGTAATAGCCTCGGTATACGCGCTTTAAGGTGAAGCAGGACTAAAAAAATTGTAACTTCGTTTATTAACTCGATTTGTTTCAAAAAAATTGGTTTTATTATAGTTATTATATCATCAATTTTAAAAAAAAAAAAACAATCGATGAGCCTAATCTAAAAAGAATATTTTTTTAAAAAATGTATATATATATTCTAATTCACAACAGTAAAATAAAATAAAGTATAAAATAATCTAAAAAATTAATTATATTCAACTTGACTTAGACAAACTTGTGATTCCAGCCATTAAAACCGAATTACCGAGATATTTTATAAAACTCACAATTAAAATTATAATATTAGAATAACTAAATAAAAAATTATGATTTTTTTAAAACAAAATAATTAACCCGTATTAAACTTTTTTATACATTTAAATCTGAAGAACATCCAATAACACGCACTAAATTACACACCCAAACATAAAACAGATTAATGCATTTGCAACTCAATGATCGATATTCTTCCTAGGAGATGAAACAAGATTGCATCCGAGATGATACCATTCCTCGTCTAAAGGCTGACCACTGGTCAGCAAAATAACCCCAACAGCTTAACCTTTTCTTTTTCCGGTTACAAGTTTCTTTGTTCTTTCTTTCTTTCTTAAAATGGTTATGTATTTGCTCAAATCCCCAATAAGATTTGAGGGGGAAAAGGGTCTGAATAATTATTGTGAAACTGGTTGTTAATTGTGTATTTACGTCATGATATGCAGCTTGCAATATATATTTAGATAAATACATACAAACTAAAATTAATATGAAAGAAGCAAAAGGTTCAAGCATAATTCCTGTTCCATACATGAACACGGCATTAGACAGATGAAGGGGTTAGAACGTGTTTTTATTAAAATAGGATAAACACGGCATTTCATGAATCTGTCGTGCCAAATAGGATAGGCAAACGAAGGTAAACTAGACTTCTGTACTGAGTCGACGCTAGATTCACCCGGCTAACTGATTTAGGAAAGAGTCATTTTATAATTGTCTCAACATGTAAGTCACCTCATCAATTATTTTTATTAAAATAATTTTATTAAAAAAAATTAAATTCAACTAAACTATATCAACTCAGTAACATAATTTTTTTTATCCACCTTAAAACTTAAATTTAAATTAGATTTTAAATTATGTTTAACAATTTATCATAAAAAGTTAGGTTTAACAATAACAACCCTTAAAGTATTTACTTATTGAATTAAAAATTAATTAAGTAGTTTAGCTAGTTAGGTATTGGGTTTGCTCTTAATAGTTATCGATTCAAGTTTTTTTAAGATTATTAAAAATTTATATAATTATTAATTTTATAATTTATAAAATTAATTTAGATACATATAAATTAATCTAAATATTTATATTAATAAAAAAAATTAAAAATATATTGCCTACCAATTCCTGCAAGCTGGCTTGGTGCAGTTTGTCATGGTTTAGGCGGGCACTTCCATTACTACTTGGATAAAAGCAAGTGAAGCATATGAACAGCCGACATGTTGATCCACGATCGTCTTGTCTAATTATTAAATTTTCTTCCTTACTTTTCTCATTTTGTTGTGGGGATGAAGAAAAATTTTGAGTTCAATATATACTTTTCAACCCGAAATCAGAATGTTCAAAGTAAATTGTTTAAGATAAAGATAAAGATGGAAAAAAAAGTAGTCGACGCCGAATTTTATAATGACTAAAAATTTTAACTAATTTCCAGAGAATTGTTTTTTATAAAGAGCTGTTAAAAATAAAATTAGTCTCTCTAAAAATCATATCTAAAATAAAATATATTATTACTTATTTTATGATTCAAATATCTATTGTGCTTTTATTAAAAACTTGCCTAAACTAGTATAAATACATGTTTTATAAAGAACTAGTAAGATCTAAAATAGTAATTAAGAATATAGTTCGGCTACAAGACCTCATCTTCACATTTTAAACTATCGGTATTGGATTTTTATTTTATTTACTTTCAATATTATTTTGTAAAATTAGATTTTATAATTTTTTATTTAATAAAAAATTGTAATGGCTACTTAGCAAGAGGATGTTGATAAGGTATTAAAATTGAGGTATTTGGGTGTTTTCCTACAGCTTTACTATATTAGTGTATTTTGAGAGTTTTTATAAAATATAAATTAACTATCATTCTATATATATATATATAAAAAAAAAAAAACTCTGGAGGTGGTGGACCATCTTCTGCTGTGATAATATATATATATATATATTTCCTAGATTAAAAGTTTGCAATAAATCGAATCATGATCTGATGGATCCCCTCCTTCCTCGGGGTCGGAGTCAAACAGCATGTGGAGCCTATCAATGTTGAATCTTCAAATTTTGAAGAGAGCACCTGCAGAAATATTTTGAATTTTTCCACACACACACACACACACTAGTGTAAAAAATAAAAAAAAATCGAAAAAAATAATTTCTTATATATTTTCAATTGAAACAATACTTTTAAAAAATATTATATATTATAATACTAAACACACACCAAATTTTTTTTTTTAATTAATTCATTCAAGAATAATTGATGCATAAACTAACTTAAAAATATTATTTCTATATATAGATGTTTGTCCTTCTTAAATAATTAAGCTACTATAAGAAAATGATAATATTTTTTGTGTGTGTGTGTGTGTATATATTATCAATAATACAAGCATATTTCATTGGTAAATATTTGGCTGATGATTTTTTTTTTATGGAGAAATTACTTGTCAGTAAATATTTAACCATGCATTATTTATATGGGCATATATATGGCTGATAATGCGTGATTTTACATTGAATCATTGAAATTAAATGAATGTATATGAATAATTTTTTATTGTACTATATTGAAATTAGGCATACGTACAAAAATAATGTATATTTCGATACATGCAATGATTAATATATAGCAGGAAAACACAAGATATGCAATATAATCATATCTTATAATCAAAAACTTCTCCAAAAGAATAATCATTACTGATTTCATGCCCATCTCTTTTACAAGCGCGGTTGAAAGAATATATTTACTAACTACTCTTAAGCTTTTTTGGAGCTATGGAAATTCAAGGTAAAGAGCGAATAAGATATTATATAGATTAAGATGGTACGTATTTAGGAAGACGATTTTATGTTAGTACGAGCTTTATGCAACTTCACATCCATATATATATATATATATATAAGGGAAATAAATATGATTGAATTATATTATTTTCTTTATCAATTAATAAAATTTCGCTAACTAGGGTATTCGAGTAGAAATATATTCTTCACAAATTAAATGTTTTCATAGGAATATTATTGTGTGTGTGTGTGTGTGTGTGTATGTATATATAGGAATATTATTGTGTGTGTGTGTGTATGTATGTATATATATATATATAAAGACACACACACTTTGTGGAATATTAGCCCCAGTTTTTTGAAGAATGAGAGTATATATATTATGATAACATGTTGTATTTCTTTCTTTCTTTCTATTTTAAATTGGATTTCTGTTTCTTTATTAAAACTTTCTCCATCGATCGCATCATATGTCCGGAAGACCACAATTTTGTTTGGTGTCGAGATTCGAGTGTCCCATTGTCAGCCACCTGTCTCTATTCATAATCTTTGAACGACGCTGTATAATCAAGTATATATGGGTGGGTAAGGCGCCTCTACTTGTACAAAGTCAGACCAAGAAATGTAAGGTATCAAAGATTGATGGTTATGGTGCACCACCCATAGACCAATAAATAGTTTGATAAGGTAAGTCAAAACTCAAGAAGAGCTAGCTCGAATGCAGCTGGAAAAATATATATTAAAGGCTTATTGATTTCCGAGTAGAAAAGTGGAGTGAAGAAGATGTATATGGCCAGCAGGCTGTAAGCAGCCACCGTGTCCTGAATTTGTCGGCACCTATTCAAATATTCATGCAATACAACACTTGAGAAACACGAGGTTGACGGAGGAAAATGATGCAAGAAAGAATTAAACAGATGAAAGTTCTAGAGCGAGAAAGTCAAAACTCAAAAGGGGGTGGCATGCATTTTTCTCTTTCCATTTATCATTTACCACATGCATCTGTCGAGAGGTAGCCGCAATCACCTTCATAGACTAATTAAAGTAGAGTTTGCCCTTCTTGAGCCTTTCAATTGCTCGGAGAAAGTCCTAGGCAATTTGCCTCTCTCTGAATGCCTGTATTTAACGTGTTTTGACTTTCTAAATTTTGAACATCTCCCATTATTCAACGCCTCACGTATATAACCCAAACCCAATACCATCTCCTCTTTCCAAATCAAACCAATTCACACAACTCCTCAAAACCTACTTTCAAACCAAATTTCTCTAAAGCCTTCAATTCTTGGCTAGCTACTTTCATCTACTTGTCTACGTACTAACATCTACTTTTGTTTCTCATCTAGGATTTCCTCCAAAACCACTTTCTTCATCTTCTTGAACTTAATTTAGTGGTTCTTAGTGTTATATATTTTTAGATCTTCTTGTTTTATTTTGTGTAAAATGGAAGATATTGAAGTCCCTTCATTTTTTCTCTGCCCTATATCTCTCCAAATCATGAAAGACCCGGTTATAGTCCCAACTGGGATAACTTATGATCGTGAGAGCATTGAGAAATGGATGTTTTCAAGCAAGAATGATACCTGTCCAGTTACAAAACAACTGATATCAGGTTGTGAGGTGACACCAAACCATACTCTTAGGAGGTTGATTCAATCTTGGTGCACCCTCAATGCTTCATATGGTGTTGAAAGAATCCCAACTCCAAGGCCTCCAATTAGCAAAGCACAGGTTGCCAAGCTTCTCAATGATGCTAAATCGCCGGAGCAACAGGTTACTTGTCTAAGGAAGCTACGTTCCTTCGCTAACGAGAATGAAACAAACAAAAGATGCATGGAGGCTGCAGGTGCTGTAGAGTTCTTGGTCTCAATGCTAAATAACTTCCATTCTTTATCATTTGAAGTAACTTCAGATGATGGGTTTGAGATCTCAAGACCAAGTGATGAGGCCTTGAGTATTCTCTACGGTCTACAAATATCAGAATCTGGCCTAAAGAATCTTGTTATGGGAAGAAATGGTGAATTCATTGAGACCTTAACGAAAGTTATGCAAGGTGGAAACTATGAATCTCGAGCTTATGCGGTCTTCTTGTTGAAATCGATGCTTGAAGTAGCTGATACACTGAAACTCATCAGTTTGAAACATGAACTCTTCGACGAAATAGTCCAAGTTTTACGTGATCAAATATCTCACCAAGCATCAAAAGCTACATTGCAACTGCTAATCAGTCTTTGTCCATGGGGAAGAAACAGAATCAAAGCCATTGAAGCTAAGGCAGTCCCGGTTCTGATTGATCTTCTACTTGATTCACCAGAGAGAAGAACCTGCGAGATGGTGCTAATGGTGCTGGACTTGCTATGCCAGTGTGCAGAAGGAAGAGCTGAATTGTTAGGGCACGGTGCAGGCCTAGCTATTGTTTCAAAGAAGATACTTAGGGTTTCTCAGATGGCAAGCGAGAGGGCAGTGAGGATCATCTTGTCAATCTCAAAGTACTCAATAACTACTAGTGTTCTTCAAGAGATGTTGCAGATTGGCATCGTGGCCAAGCTATGTCTGGTGCTTCAAGTGGATTGCGGAAGCAAGATCAAAGACAAGGCAAGAGAGGTGCTTAAAATGCAAGCTAGAGTTTGGAAGAGTTCTCCTTGCATACCAGCAAATCTACTCTCTTCATATCCAGAATGAGAGGAGGTGAAAGAATCATGAATTACGTACCTTTTTTTGGTTACTTTTTTCTTTTCCTGTACGTACATAATTCACTGATGATGATATTAGAAATAGATATACAAATGGCACGAAACTGTGTCGTCCACTAGTTAGTGCATGTTTTATTGCAAATTGGGTTTTCCATTTTGATGAAATTAATGATTATTAACAAACTTGAGATCTCACCACGACCCACTGACTAGCTTCTTTTGTTGTTTGATTTAATTTTTTTTTTCTAGCTCTCCTTTATTACCTAATCAAACTTGAATCTATTAAAACAAATTTTGAAAAACTCCATCAAGAAATGATGGATCAACATTTCAAAACATTTATCTTCTTTTTTCTTTCACGATGGTCTCATCCATTCTGATTCCTGATAAGTTCACATTGTTTTATAGGACGCGGATTAAAGTTGTAGACACGTATGATCGATGTTTCTCTTACTATATATTGTGAAGGCAACAAAATTATAACCAGTCTGATTTCACAGGCTAAAGGCCGGCTTCCTTGTGAATTATAATAGGAGATTACGAAAGCTTTTAGTTCAATTGTTAGGTAAAACCTTAAATCTCCTCTTTGATGCAAGCTTTTGTTTCCTGTACTGCAAGTTTTGATCAATAATTAAAGTTCAAACCTCTATCATTACGATTATTTGTAAACTGGTCATGTATTAGTTTGCTGTTGATTTTGGCATAACGAAGGAGATGATGATGATGATCCAATTAATTTAAGAATGATTATTCAAATCTACTTGTTGAACAAATTTTTATCCGAAGACCCGTCAAAATATTTTTCTTAATCTATATAAAACTCTAAAACCAAAGTTTTTCATATTAAAAGAATTCAGATATCTAACTTTTATTTCATACTATATATTGACCCATATATGTGGGATTTTTACTGTATAAAAACCTTAATTTTGTAGCATAAATTAAGGCTTTCATACAATAAATATTATTATTGACAATATAATATTTAATATATAACCTCATAAAATATTTCCTACACAAAATTTCAAATTCATCAAAATATATTTTGTATTTAAAAAATCCTAAAATAAATCTTTTTTCGGTATGAAAATCTAATTTGTTTCGGAATATTCTTATAGATATAAGAGTATCTTTTTTTCAATGGTATTTCCTGATAAAATATTTTATTACGAGAGAGCTTTGGAAATGATCTCTTGATTTAATTTCAAGGCATGCATTTATTTATTATGAACCGGCCATTTGTCGATTTATATGTATTTAATGTCTGTATCATTTAGATTTTACAGTTGTTTATTCTCTAAAAAGGAAATGACATCCCAGCCCTTAATTGAAAGTGAACATGATCCAATTAATTTAATTTCAAATTATGGCATTTACTTATGTGTCAGCCCGGCATATTCTGATATTACATTCAATGCTAGCCACATTTACTATATGCTTTGTTTTATGAAGAGAGCAGAGAATGACGTGAGATAGAGACAAATCTACCGGTAAGAACCACTAGAATTTGGGCAAGATAGCATTTTTTTCAGACATGGGGTCCCATATCATGCATAATGCATTCAATTGGCTGCAGCCCATTCTTGAATTTGGACCCTTCCCTCTGGTGCTTGAGCAGTTTGACGTCAGTGCTTCTCTTTTGTTCATAAATTTAGACACGGGGTCAATGCTGGATTAGTTGGTCTTACTAGATAGTTGACACGGGAAATGTTGCCGGATAGTTAATTTTCTTTTTTAATATAAAACAATGACAAGGCAATGCTTGTGTTTTTAAAAAATCAAGAAAAAAGAAAAAAAGTGAGATTTTTATGATTAGTTGAAAGAATTTGATAAGTTTAGTTAATTTAATAATATAATTTAAAAAATTAATAATAAATAAAGCAAAAAAAAAATAACAATGATTTAATACAATAAAAATATATGTTCATACCATATAGACACACACACACACATAATGTTTTTAAAAGGTCCTTATGATATTATTTGTTAACAAAGCAAAAATAATGTTTTTAAAAGGTCTTTATGATATTATTTGTTAACAAAGCAAAAATTATACAAGAACGAGATGATCATATAAAAAGCAAAAAACAAAAAAAACTTGACTCAAAACCTAGTAAGCCTAACATAAAAAAAGTTGAATTCAACCCGGTTTAATCTTTTAAATCTGTTACATGGATTATGGGGTTTGATTGAACCATAAAAGAAAAATCTAAAAAAGTCATAAAGTCAAATTCTTAATTAACCAAATAATAAGGGGTAAAATTGAAAAAAAAGATAAAAAAATCGAATTAAAAAGAATGAGAATCAAAATTTATATATATAAAAAAATCAAATTATGAGAGATGCAATTAAAAAGAAAAATTCAATCAAAAAAGGTATTAAAAAAACAAATAACAAATAAAAAAATAAGGATCACATTTTATATAAAAATCAAATGTCAAAAAATTAAATTTGATAAAATTAACAAAAACCATATTTTTCTAATTTTTTGCAAGAATAGTGTATTTTTCAAGGCTAAAAAAGAGAAAAGAAGGAGAAAAATAAAAAACATTATCGAAAATTCACTATATAAAGGGTGGCTACTTTCAACTTACCACCATGAAATAGACAACGAGACACATCAAACACCGTCCTAAAATATAATATTCGACCATCGAGAGACAGTATATATGTTGTTCAAATAGTATAAATATCTCTCTTTTATAGGCTTATGTGTTACAAGTGCCAACAATGTTTTTTAAAATAATATTATATTTTTATTATAAGACTTAAATGTCCCTAAGTCAACTTGCCAATTACAATAAAACCTATATGAAATTATGAAAACACCATTAACCTTAACTTAAAGAAAATATAATTCTAAGTGTAATTTAGATATCTTAGCATTCAAGAAATTATGAAATGTTTAAAAAACTCACCCTTAAGTTTAATTAATTTAGTTGTTATAGATAATTTAGTAATTTCATTACACAATTCGTCACCCTTGAGTTTAATTAATTTAGCTGTTACAGATAATTTAGTAATTTCATTACACAATTAAAAAGTAAAAAGTGTAAGATATTCCCAATGGTTTTGAATTGACAATTTAATCTTGCTGAAAACATTATTTTAACCCTCAAACAAATTAAGTTATAAGTTTTGTGTTGTCAAGATCAAAATAACAATTTTATTGTCCTAATCCATATTAAAATTAGAGAGAGTCTACAATAAAAATCTGATAAATTTTAGTTTTTTTATTTAATTTAATTATAAAACAATAATAAGTAGGAAGTGAGTTATCACTTCAAATGATAATAATTAAGTGATAAGGACTTAACTAAAAAGAAAGGATATTAATGATTCTAATCCAACCACTTATATTAATTTTTTAACCTAGTAAATATATAATCGATTAAAAAAATCGTATTAGTTGACTTTTTCTCATATTTGGATTTTTAGTGAAGGCCGCCATCCGTGAATCATGTCTAAAAATGGTATCTATAATATAAAAAATAAAATAAAATAAAACAGCAGCGAGTACTTGGAGTCCAGCTCGTTGGCAAAACTAGGGAAAGCCATCCAATCCACTCCTTTGGTCTTCTTCTAAAGCAGAAGCGTCACCTGTCATGTCATATAAACAGTAAGTTTTGCTTGATAAAGTTAACGTTCCAGCGTTGAATAGGATTTATTTAAGGAATTATTAATTTATAAATGTTATAATTAAAACGACGTTTTAAATTATCTGTTATCGTGGAAATTTAGAAGTCAAAAGAGGCTGAATGGCTGGCTATAACAAAAGCTCTTGAATTGTGGATTTATTTTTGAAGTTTTATCTTTAAATCTGTTTGTAAATTATATGAATAAACAATATTTTTATTTTAGCATCTCGATGCCCTTTATGGTTGGACTCTTTATTTTTTTTTTTATCATGTTTTGCGTAGTGTAAAAAGAATATATAACTTTGTGGCTTAGAAAGGAGAGAAGCTTTAAATATTCTCGAAGATTTATTTTAAACAGCTATGGTTATTGGGTTACTGGTTGTCGTTGTATTCGCTTTAAAATTCTCGTCAAAAGTAATTGAATTCGAGCTGTCCTGTTGATTTTGGTGGGGTGATACACGCCGATGCTTGATCCATGGCGTTAAAATGTTGTTTCTGGTGTATTTGCACCCACAGCAATCACAGGAAACCCACCGTTAATTCATTAATTCCTCCTCAAATTCAACAGGTAGAATGATTGTCATCAAATTGTAATTGGTTAGTCTTACTTTCCGTTTAATTGTTCATAAATAATTAATAAAATAAATCTTTTGATGTTACTCTACATCCAGCCCGTCAAGAAATCAAATGGCCTCATATAACACCATATTAATTACACAACACCATATGAATTGTAATATATATATATATATATATATATATATATATATATAAATAAAATTAATGATAGGTTTAAACCCTGAAGAAAATTATTTGTCAAAACTTGTGGGAATATTATATCTCAAGTAATTCAGTAGTGCATGAAAAAGTTCACGTCACTACTTTTCTTACTACCATTAATTTCCATGGACAACTTGTGGCGCTAGCTAGAACTTACAAGCAGCAACATCACCCTCCAGTCAAACCATGGTGCGTACCTTGAGCTAGCACATGGTAATCCATGGGCGAGAATTTTAACACATACTAGCTTGTCACCAAGACGACTTTTGCATACGCTAGACCTTAATCAACCATGTCTCCTCTCATCTTTAAACACTTATACATAGCTGCAGGTCATGTCTTGATCAAGTTGAAGGCACAAGCTAGTTGATAGTTGCAGACGAATTCTATCCCACGCCACCCATAAACGGTAAATTTGACTACCATAACGCTAATATAACTTGTTAGAAAAAAAATTTCAAACATTTGATTTTATCAAACTGTGTAGCGCGTCGATCATTGATAATTCCTAGAAGAAGCATATGATTGTGGGAATTACTTAATTTCTTGGATCATGTGATGCATTTGCAGATACGGTGTTAAGAGGGAATATAATTATATTGATTTTGCCGACCTAACCTTGAATGTGAATCGTGAATTAAATTAATACACTAAGAAGAAGTTTGATCGATCTGCAGTTGAATAATTGAAGTCTTCAAGATTCAAGCTAGCTAGCATGCTTATGAAGACCAACGTATATTTATGTGGTTTATAAAATTTGCACTGCCAAGTTGATGGATGAGGACCGTCAAGTTCCCCTTTAAAATCTTGGAGTTTTATTTTTGCTTCTTTTCTTTTAATGGAGGTAAAGGGTCAATCCAGAAATATTAAAGTTTAAGGAATTGGAAGATTGGTATTTAACTAACATAAATGGGGGTCCATATATATAAAGGTCAAACCCTCGAGGCTCTATCATGGGCCAAAGAAAGGCAATATATGCATCAATGTGGTTGTTTTAATCAGCCATTGAAACTGCTAGAAATCAGAAAGAACAGTTGAAAGAGAGAATAATTATTTCTTAGTGAAAATAACTTAATTGTGAGACAATTAAGAGACAATCAATGGTTGATGTAGC